GTGTGGCGTGCCACACCCCACGCTTGACCCTGCTCATAATGCTGAATCACGTAATTTGTCCCACTCCCGTTCTTTTTTGTTCAGACACGTTCAGACACGAACGCTCATGATTGGCGTCCAAAGGCGCTTAGCAGATAATGAAGATTGAATGCACCGTTTAGCGGCCTCTACTGGAAAAAAAACTTTGTCAGTTATGCAGATCTTGCAGTTCCAATGCAGATGTGATGTGTGCTAGCAGATGCGTTTTCGCATCTCCATATCGAAGTCTCAACTTTAACTATGTGGGAACGATTCTATTCGTTTCCATAATCTTACATTTTGTTATAGTGCGTTTGCATCCGCCTATCCTCGCCGTTCCGGAACGATACAAATTTCGTAAGTTTTCCAAACATACCAGTTTCGCAAAATGCAACAAAAGAATTGTCTTTGAATGTTTTTTCCCACCTGAGAAAATCGCAATCATTTTAGGTGCTGATTTTGCTTCTTTTATTGAAGCTATCAAAAATGGCTCCTACAATACTTCTTCTTACGATAAAACTAAACTGCTGCCTCCATTTCACCGTTTTAGGGAAAGATTTGAGGTGATTTCTTCGCATTTGCCTTCACTTCCATTCTTGTCTCAAAAGGTCATCAGAAGAATAATAGTAAAGGATTCGTGTTGACTAGCTGATCTATGTTAGCTTACTAATCTATATATGAACAATCGTAAGCGCCATTTAAAAAAGTTGAAATTGCGCGAAATCGCGCGGCTTGCACAGCGAATGTGACTGCAAACCCAGCACCTTTATGACTACTGGCTCACTAGTCTTGTGCAAAGAAGTTTTTCCTGCTTAACAATGTAAGGATCAGAATTCGCACAACAGTTGCAACAATTGCTGTGCGATGAACACTCCTAATTTTTATCTCTTTTTGCGTTCTCGTGAATTTTCTCCCGCAAGACACAAGTGGTCCAGAAACGCTTCATACTTGAGCGCAACTGCAGTATGTACCGCCTACAAAATTCGACTTCACGAAGGCATAATAATGTGATGATGAGCTATCAGTAAATTGAAGCACAGTAAAATTCGCTTGCATTTGTTTTCTTTCAACTGCTTGAAAAAAGACCTATTTCATGGCAGGAATGATGTACTGAAGAAAACTCCCTTGACAATTGAGGTATTAGTGTATGGACTGTAGCCAAAACCAGAATCTAGACCATTTATTAATTTCAGGTTGAAATGACTATTCAAGACGCTTGAGAAAAACTGCCAACAAATTTTTGCACTCTTTTTTACCTAAATCTACAAGCAAACTGTAAAAAGTTCAATCCATCAACGGCATCATTCCCTACTTTCAACTGGTTTCAAAAATGGGTACTAGACTTCGTTGTTTAGGTAGCTAACAGATACGATTTGAGCATGTGTCACATACAGAAAATTATGTCTACTATATTGACTGGAATATTCTGTTATTTGAATAAGCCTCTGATGTTCGAGGCAAGAAAAAAGCAAATTTCCAAAGAAAATTGGGTGGAAGGGTAAGCTTATAACCCATTGTTCAATCTGCCGCACCCCAATGATTAAACTTAGATTTGGTTCAGCCTTTGTCGAAGTGATTACCATGGCTTTACGATAGCAGATGTGCTAGGTACACGACTCAAATTTGTCGTAGTTCGCGATCCTATCGACAGATTTCTTAGCGGATTCCTCGACAAGTGTTTGTAAGCATCTCTCTGAAAAATTTCTGTGTATAGTCATCATTCAAATTCGAGGAGGAGCCCACCAGCACTTTGCTTTGGATGTAGAACAATTGGCTGTTTCATTATGGCAATGCACTCTAGATTATGGGGCGCGTATAAATCAAGCAGACCTACGCACCACATCATGGAAAATCACCTTGCTCCGTTAACCTGGTAAGAATGCATGCCTAATTGAATTATCACAGAACATAGGCTTTGTAAGAGAACTCGATCTCAAGCATTTGTGAAACCTTAATAAACGATATCATAATCTTACAAGATGCATTAGACACAGGTACTGCGACTTCAAGGACCATCTTCAGTCGTTTATCGTCATCAAGTATAAAAACGGGCAGAATGGAAGCCTTGAATTAGCAAACATACTGGACGACATTTTCAAATCGGCTATGGTTCCCAAATTACTGCGCGACACAATACGTCGAGAAATTCTGAGTGAGCAATTTTTCGATTTTGACATGATGAAGCTTACTTGCTCATTAGATTTCAAGTTACATGGAATGTTGCAGTTGGTAAAGTGCGACATTCTACATTCTTCACAAAAAGGAGACGAGAAGTCGAAGAAGAAGTGTTTAGAAATCAAACCTTGCTCAATATATTGCTAGAGTTGTATTATTATGACTATGTTGTATTTAATTACGATTTCCCAATGCTGCGCTAACATATTCATTATGTTTTTATTTGCTTGACCTTCACGATAAACTTGAAGACAAGATTCTACTCGCCTAGCCGCAATCTTTTCAAAGCCAAAACGTTATGGAAGGCTCCATGCAGTTTAGTGTCAGCTTTCGATTTGAACACATCTTCAATGTTACTGAACGAGTTTTCTTGATATAGATAAATGGGCAAACTGAAAGTTTGTAAGATTTTTATTAGATGGAGATTCGATTTTTGATATTTGTTCTCAAATTCGTGCATGATCCCAAATGTGCTTAGTTCAATATGCTCAATCAAAGCTCACATCTCTTTATGAACTTAACGAGAGCAGTTAGCTGTTACGAATCATTCTGCGTGTCATTGCTATAAATTGATAACTTCTACGAACAGGTGCTAATGAGTGCTCCTGTCACAAATGCAGCCATTCGCGGAGCTTTGATATTAGACGTATGATTATGCTTCAAGTAATTTTTGTGACCTTAGCATATAACTTGCTTGCCGGCATTGAGATCTCAATACTTCATATAACTGAAACTTCTTACTCACAAGGGAAGCGTGTTAGGTCGAAGTGGCCTCCCTAAATAAGATCTACATCACTTTGTAGAGCATTGAACGCTGATTCCA